TTACGGATTGAAAATAATTTCTTGTCTACGTTAGTTCTGTTCGTTTTTTAATAATGCGGAGCTTCTAACTTTCTTTCGGCGCACAGTCCTTCAAATACAATATTAATGATAGTATTATAATTGGGTAGTCTATTGTTAAAAGTCGGCATATTTATTACTACAATAAATTAGTTTAATGCGGTTTTGAAATCGTATTTTAATTTACTATAAGTAATAATATTGTAACATCCTGGATAATGACTATTTTAGATTCAGTAATAGTATACCGGGTGAGTGTTTTAAAGTGTTTCAAGAGGATATTTCGAAAACGGTTTAAAATTTTTTTGTGAAATTTTGTTCAACAGAGAGGTGGGGGACATATTTAAAGATATTTTTGACTTCTACCCCCTCTCCCTATTTTGAGTCGCGGGGGGTAACTTTGGATTTTTACCAGGGAGGATGTACTTTTTTTAATTCGAATCTAGGTAGGTATGTGTGAAAAAAAATGATTTGCGCTTTCGCTTACGGAATTATGATTTATTGAATTATAAAATACTTAAAAATAGTTAATTTATTTATTGAGTGTACGAAATTCATTTAAAAAAATAGTAAGGAAGTGTTTGGAAGTAAAAGAGACACATTTTAAAGAATTTCTTAGACATAACAGACGATAAATTAAAACTTAATTGTTAATATTTTTTAGTATCTTAAAATCTAATAAATCATAATTCGTAACCAAAATCCAAATCAAAAATTTTACACATACCTAGTTTTTTTCGTAAATTTAATTAAAAAAAAAAGTACATTAATGTAATTATAATATAATTATACCTATTAAAAATCCAAAGTTACCCCCCACCCAAAATTTCACAAAAAAAGTTTAAACCGTTTTCGAAATATCTCCTTGTAACACTTTAAAAAACGCACCCGGTATATATATATGTGCGACGATCATGAAGTTTGCCGGGGTTTAACTTAAGAAAGGAATAATAAGGAAGTTCATTATTTTGCCCACTCTCAGCAGGGTCATGAAATTAAATATTTCTTGCGGGTGTTGAATAATAGTACATTATGTATCAAGTTTGATAAACGCCATTTTAGTTTATTTTAATTTAATTAAATGAGTGTCTATAAAAGTTTATAAACGAGTTGCGTACTACACTTTTTGTACTACAAATACTTATTATTATCTAAAAATGATTTAAATTAAATTTTTGTATAGAGCGTCATCTATAAAACAATAGAGTAACCTTTCTTGGGAATTTGTCAAATTTTTATGTGTAAATCGAAATGTATCCCTTGAAAATGGACCCTTTAAATCCGATTTGGAGTCAGTTTTATACAGTAAAAGTAAAGAAAATGTTGGCACTCGGTCTTCACCCGAAATTAAGTTAAATCTAGTTAAATGCCAGCGAAATTAAAAGGTCTGTACAATGTTTATATGTATATACTTTTCAAATATTTGCATTGAGAAACTATTTAATTCTTTTGTATTTTTGTATTAAGATAATGCAATAATACTAAATATAAAAATTATTTTTATATTTAGTATTATTTTACAAGGCACTTTATTTTAACAATAATTGTATGATATTTGACAAATGTCAACTAACTAATAATAATAATAATAATAATAATAATAATTTATTGAACACATTTTTACAAATAATTTCTCATGTACATAATTTATTTATTCCTATTCGCACCTGATTTCATATGAAATCGTGTCGTGCTTAGATTTTAATAACAAAAACAATATTCGAGGTGTGTGTTTTAACAAAAAAAATTAAGAAAATAAAAAATTAAATATAATCTGTAAATTGATAAACGAATAATAATTATACCATATACAAGTAAACAAATATTTTGAATGAATGAAATTTTACAGAATCTATCTTATAAATAAATTAAATTTTGATTGTATAAATAATTTAAGTTTCTTACAAAATAAATTAAAGTCATTAATTCTCTTTAGTTCGTTGGGCAAAACATTGTACACTTTCGGACCTGTCACACAAATACAGTTTTTAAAGAGTGTCGATGGAATCTTGGGAATTAGATTAGTTTCTTGTCGAGTATTGTACTGATGTTTGGCAGTTTTCCTTAATATTGGATTTTTATAAACAAACTTGGCTACATTAAATGTATACAACTGATTAAAATTAAAGACATTGCTTTCGTGGTATATTTCAATTGTCGAAGTTGTACGTTTTTTAAATAAGATTGTTTTTAGAATCCATTTTTTTGTCACGATAATATTTTTTAAATGATTTTCATATGTCCACCCCCATATAATAATTCCATATGTTATTAATGATTCCGCTAGAGATTTATATGCTATAATAAGTGATTTTTTTGACATAATCTCTCTTAATTTGTAAAATAAGTAAACAATTTTTTTTAATTTATTTGCTATATACTGTGCGTTTTCTTTCCATTTTAAATTATTATTTATGATTAGACCCAAGTACTTTATGGACTCAGCCTTTTTAACTAATCCTTGGCACTGACAGCCTGGCTCAAGATCACAAACTGCATGTAACTTAATTTCCTGAAACTGTGGTTGATTTGCCATGCTGTTTGTGATACACATAAATTTGGTTTTAGAAAAGTTAAGACTTAATAAATTACTATCAAGCCAACATTTTACCTTATAGAGGTTATGCTCACTGTTGGTTTTTGCTTCTGTCCAAGTTTTTCCATTAATAAGTAAAACCGTATCATCTGCGTAGGATAGTATATCACCGTTTATTGATAGCTTAAGCATTTCATTTATGTATATCACAAACAGCTTGGGACCCAAAACCGTTCCTTGGGGGACGCCATATTCAATTTTTCGGGATGAGCTTAGCGTGTTGTTTATTTTTACAAATGATCCACGATCACTTAAGTAACTTTTGAAAAGTTTAAGAACAATTCCCCGGATTCCATATTGTTCCAACATAGTGAGTAGCATTGGATGTGATATGCTATCAAAAGCTTTTGCCAAGTCTAAAAATATTGCAATTACTTTCTTATTATTATTTAATAGGTCGTGAATCTTATTTGTAAAACTAAATAGGGCGTCCTCCGTAGAACATTTGTTCGTAAATCCAAACTGATTTGATGAGATCAGGTTATATTTTTTTAGGTGTTCATCAAGTCTCCGAACAATACATTTTTCAAAAATTTTGGCTATTATTGATATTACTGAGATGGGTCTATAGTTTTTGGGGTCAAGATGGTCACCGCTTTTAAAAATTGGTGTTATAATGGCGTATTTTAGCAATGTAGGAAATTGACCCTTATTTAATGACAGATTTATTACATGAACTATACTATCCGCAATATTATCTTTAATGTTTTTTATAGTTTTTGTACTGATTTTATCTATTCCGCATGAAGTGTTATTTTTTAGCTCATTAATTATATTTAAAACTTCCCTTTTTTCAACTGGCCTTAAAAACATGGAATTTATTGTGTTTGTTTGAGAAGTGTTAGCAGGGTTAAAATCAGAAAAGGGGTCATTTTTTATGGAGTTCGCCATATTTTCTCCAATCTTGGAGAAGTAATTAATAAAGGTATTGGCAACATCGACTGGCTTGCTTGAAATAAAATTGTTATTGATGCGTAGTGTGATGTCATTGGTTTTTGTATTGTTTATGTTTTTTATTATTCCCCAAATTTCTTTTGATTTATTCTGCGATGTATTAATCTTGTCCGCGTAATATTTTTGTTTAGTTTGTTTTAAGCATTTTGTAAGAAAATTTCTATAACTTTTATACCGATTTAATAATTCAATATTATGTTTATCCTTCAAAAACTTCTGCTTTAAGTTATCCCTTGTTTTAATTGATTTAATAAGTCCCTCTGTAATCCATGGTTTAATTTTGTTATAAGATTTAATATTTTTATAGATTGTACAATTATTTATAAAATAGTTTAGTTTGTTAATAAATATTTTATATGCTTCATTAGGATTATCTTGTAAATAGAGGTCATGCCAAGATTCATTTTGTAAAATATTATTAAGTTTATTATAGTCTATTATTTTTAATCTCTTTAATTCATATTTAGGTATTTTTAATTTGTGATTATTTGATATGTTTATTATAATATTATAGTGATCTGTAATGTGAGATCTGTGAACTATGGGAATTATTTTGTTTTTATTTTTTAAGAGTTCCGATATTTTAATAAAAGCGTGATCAATACAAGATTTTGATTGTTGTGTTACTCTAGTACTTCGATTTATATATGAAAGATATCCATGAGAGCTCATTATATTTATGTAAGAATTTGATACCATATTTAATGATTTAATATCAATATTAAGATCATCAATAAACAAATTAAAATCATTTGCACTATTTAACCCTAAAAAGTAGTCAAGTTCATTCATAAAAACCTCAGTATTGGTGGAGGGTGGTCTGTATGTTGCTATTATGTTGTAACTTAAATTATTTAATGAAAAGAAAATTTTTGATAAAGTTATTTTAGATTCAATTAACTTAATATGGTTGACTTTTGCTTCTATTTTTTCACTAATATAAATAACCAGACCATCGTTTTGATTTGTTGTTGATTCATTATAGTATAATAGGTATTTGTTTATGTTATAGTGTAGGAGATCCTCAAGTTTCCAAGTTTCACTTAAAATAATAATATCGTAATCTAATGATTCTAGGTATATTAAAAGTTCATCAAAATTTTTTCTTAAGCTACGTATATTAAAATGTACAATATTCAAACCAGATTTTAACATTGTATTTATATCTTTGTTTAGTTCATCGTACGTGTTTATTTTGTGTGTATTTATATGGTTATAATTATCTAATTCGTTTAAAAAATTGTTCATGTAAATTTATGTTATTAAGCCAATAAAAATATCCTATATATTTACAAATATCTTCCTAAAGAAAACAACAGATCGTATTTTCACTCCCATTATATATAATGTATACATGTGTTAATAAAAATAAATGAAATGTGGAATATTTACCTTAGCAACAAATAAACAAATAAATTTATAATAATTATCCTTCAGGTGTTTAAATTATTGATTAATAAAATCTAACGATTTTAATTCAGTTTTTTTGTTTTCAAGCATTGTAAAAATTTTCCCATTTAGGCTCCATACATTTTTAAATCCAAACTTCTCGGATGCTGCAGTTAAAATTTCCATTTTCTTTTTTGTTAGATCTTCTTTGATGTGACAATTTGTACCTTTTAGTTTTTTTCTATTTTTTATTAATTCAATTTTGTCTTCGTAATTTTGTAGTTTGACAAAAACAGCTCTAGGTTTTTTAACGTTAATTTTGCCTATTCTATAACATTCGACAATGTTTCTTGTCCCAATTTCTATTGAACCAAGGACATTATTAATATCTTCTATTAGTGGCTTTCCTGAGTTTTCTGCTAGGCCAAAGATGCGTATATTATTTCTTCGAGAATATTGTTCCATCGAGTCAATTTTTTCTTCTAATATTTTAATTTTATCATCACTCCTTTGCTGTATTTTATTTAGTTTTTTGTCCAGTTTTTTTTCTAGAGTATCATTGACCTTGAGCATTAGTTTGTTAATGAACGCTTCAGAATCCAAGATTTCAAGAAGGGATTTTTCGATGTTTTTTCTTATTTCTTCATTAATTTCTTCTTTAATTTCTCTTAGTTGTTCTCTGGTAAACACTCCCATTTTTAATTTTTGTAAATTTCAATATTTTACCACACTTTTTTTAACTTTATTTGGAGCGAAACAAAACACGTCTATCTCGTACCGCACATCGAATTAAGGTAAACTAACTTTAGCCTGTGACTTAAAAACTGTTGCTAACTTTAGCCCGTGACTAAAGCGGTATAAAGCCATAACTTGTCAATGTGTATTTAAAAGCTAACTTAGTGCCATAAAACCATGTACGATAATGGTCATTTTAAAGGTGAAAGTAAAACAATATTGTTTGGTTAATATTAAGATATTAACCCAGACTGTTCTAACCTCACTTTCTAGAGTAGAAAAAACTTTTATTTGATTGGTGTTTAATAAAATACATTGTATTTTAAAATGTAAAATACATTGTATTTTAAAATGTAAAATACATTGTATTTTAAAATGTAAAATATTAAATTGAAAACTAAAAAAAGTTATGTTTTGCAAAAATCCATACAAACACTATCTTCAGACCACGATGCGTCAAAAAAATGGTTTTAAAACAACGATAAATTTAAAAATAAAGTAATGAAATTAATGAAAATAAAATATGATATATAAATATTTTATCTGTATTTTCCTAGTACAAAAAAAAACAATTTAAAACAGCAAATTTACTGCACTGTATAGCTATAGATATAACTACCTCCTGTATAAGTAGTATTGTTACGTGGTTAATATTGTGCCGCTCGCTGAGAACGGTGGCTCGGATTCTTGGCGACTTTCTAAGGTACCATTCAGTATATTTTGCTATAAACGTCCACATAGGCGTCGGTACCACATTGACTTGTGGTTCCAAACAATTAATACTGCCTGAGCATCCACAATTAGAGAAAAAGATATTGTTAGGAATTCATTACATTGCCAAAAAAAATATTAACGACTTTTCAATAAAAAGTTAAAATAAGAAAATAATAACAAAGTTAAGGCCAATTCTCACATAGCTCCAGGAAACGACAAAATATTGTCGAGTCGAGTTGATCAGCTACATTTTAAAGTGTCGCGTCGCGTAGAGTAGCGTCGCGTCGCTATGTGAGAATTGGCCTTTAGATTGATTTAAACTTTTGATTTTTTGTCACAAACTGTAAAAAATATTAACTTTACTTTCATTATTTGATTTGTTTCCATAACAACCGCTATTAGATATGGATTACTTCAGCTTTTATGACACACAGCGTTGCCTCAATCGTATGGTCATTATTTTCACGACACCCTGTAGATATAGTTTCCTTTATTGTATAATTCTTCATAATATTATCCCATAATTACTAAAGATTTATTAGTTTTTAAGATATTAAAACCTTGTAGGTAGTAAAAAATTAGTGTTTTTTTAGCTATTCTGTAAAAGGACTTTTAACTACATTATCCATTGACGTACTGTTTCGAGCCGCACTGTCAATAGCATGTCGACAAACTGTATACGACTATTTTAACGTTTACAGTATACAGCGTAGCTGGGTATTTTTTGAAATTAATAATTGTTGAAAATTAAAATTTTATTTAAATTCTAAAAAATAACTAGTATAGAGTTGGCGTACCAAGTTCAGGACACCCTGTATAATAAATAATAACACAGGTTTACTTTTTTAAAAGCAGCTTAATTATTTATTGGTTTATAAAATACAGTATAAAAATTACATATAGCTTAATATTATGTTTTAAAGACTAGGAAATCTTTTTATATTTTTTCAAAATCATCAAATATTTTGAAGGTTAGCAATTTAAGAACATTGCTATTTTATTTAATACATTTCAAGTTTATATAAAAAAAAGGTTTTCAATTTTTAATAAATATACTATATCTATCCCGACGCATCCGCCATTTTTTGGAAAAATTAACAATTTTAAATCTGAAAATATAAAAGAACAATAAATTGGTTTTACTACACTGCGCGTCAAAATTATCGCATAATAAGTAAAAAAATTCTAACTCTAAAACGCCTTTACCAATCCTTATGAAATTTTGTATAAAAATACTTCAACTTATATCTCAGTTTACGTGTTCGAGGGTTTTTCGAGAAAATATTTTTAAAGCCTTTTATTTAATAATAAAAAAAACGTTCAAAATATAACTTTTAGGTTTTTTTTTATTTAAATAAAAAATATGCTGGTAAAGACTGTATTTTTGTTAGTATACCCTGAAAATTTTGTACAAATCAAACGAAGAGTAATGAGGATACAGCGCTTCAAAGTCGGTAAAAATGAACCCTTTTTGATTATTTTGCTGAAAATTCGTAATTTTTGACGACTTTGAATCGCTGTACTTATACTTGTACTTACAAAAATACGGTATTACACAGCATACTTTTTATTTACTTAAAAAAAATTCCCTATAAAAGTTTTTTTCGAGCGTTTTTTCATTATTAAATAAAAGGGCTTTAAGGATATTTTTTCGAAAAACCCTTGAACACGTAAACTGAGATTTAAGTTAAAGTATTTTTATCCAAAATTTTATAAAGATTTTTACAGGCGTTTTAGAGTTTTTTTACTTGGTATGTGTTAATTTGGACGCGCAGTGTATAATGTTTAATATTATTCTACACTCCTTATACGCAACATTTATTATTTCTATTGAAAATTACATTGTTTCACACCTAAACATCGACTTATCTTATATCTTACCAAGATAAAAGCTATTAAATAAATCCTTAACACTAGCTATTAATGGAAAGAATAAAAATAACAATTAAGTAAAGACAATCACTAATTAGTAATCACTAATTACACTTAAAGGATGAGGTATAATTTTTCCTATTTTTAAACAATAGGATCCAATCGATGCATACACTGACTTTATCTATTGAATAGACGTATTGTTAGTTAGGAATTTATGTACAAAGTATTGCAATATTATTATTACATATAAAAATAGGTACCTATTGGAAAAAATATAGTTTATATAATATCTGAAGAAAACCTTAAATATCAAGTTCAAATATTCAAATATCAATTTGGTATAAACTTAACTTAAGTTATCTACAGAGTTCTTGTTTACTAATTTGACGTTGGTTTGGGAAGAGTCAGGATACTAAGTACTTTTTCTAAAGTACTATTAACTTTTTCTCACTCATTGAATATAGCATCTTATTGGGGCTGTTGTTGCTGCTGCTGTTGGTAACTGTAATCAGGAACCCTGTAAAGATCTTCGTTCACTCCGTAAAGACTGGCTGCATTTGCACAATCCACATTATAAAACCAATCGCATACCCTTGCGTACTGATTAAAGAGAGTTCCATTGGGACACAAGAAACTGAATTTTTGACCGTTGGGAAGACACCAATGCCATACCTTTAAAGAATATGTTAAAGTTAATATTAAAGTAATAAATTATGAACCTATAGTATGCTATGCTAAGTGTTTAAATGTGTATTTTAGGTTGCCTATTAAAGAACCAGTATAGTAAATTTTTTGTGAGATTATCCTTACTTGGCATTGGGCTTCCGGATCGGCGTAATATCCTGGTAGCCTTTGGTCGCACCTGAATTGCAGTCCTTGGGGAACTTCGTTGTAAATGGGATAGTCTTGTCCTGCGACATATCCATCTATTTGCTAAAAAAAAATATATACCAATAATTTTAATTAAAAAACACAAATTTAAAAAAAAATGGATTTATAAATAAAGCGTTTGTATGCACTTAATTAAAGAATAAAAAAGGTTCTTAAAAAAACTCTTAAAGAAGGCAAATGCGAAGCCAAAAAGAATAATAACACTAGGTTACAGCCATTTTGCTCACCATGTCTCACTATGATTTTCTTATGGAAGCCTTTTCAAGATATGAATTTTCAATTGTTTTTTTTTTTAATTTTCTGAGGTGTTTTGACGTTTAAGAGTATACTTCGAGTTCTAATTGATCAATTTGACCAAACAAGCACTTAAATCAAAGGTAATTGAGCCATCTACAACTTTCTCTTGTATAGTTTTGGTATCGGCTCAGTAGTTCGATACTGGCGATTTTATGAAGTTGAAAAAGTTTTACAAAAATCGAGGTCCAAAATTTACATATCTTTCTGGAAAAGATAATTCCAGTTTGATTTATTTTACGTATTGATTATACTTAAAGGAAAAGATAAGCTGCTGTTTATAAAAATCCATGGCGAAGTTATGAATTTTTCAGTGGAATTCAGTTTTTCGAGAATTTTTAAGTTTTTTCTTCATTTTATTGAATTATAATTATATAAATATAAAATTTAATATCTAACATTGATTTTTATTTTAAATATTAAGTATTGAAATTAAATTATATATTGAATATTAAACAATAAATATTGAACATTGAAGAAATTGAAAGTTTTATTTTATTGTAATAAGCATATGTTTAAAAAAACTCTGGCTCCTTCTTTGTTTTTTGTTGCTTTCGTATTCCGTTTCTCGCATGAGGGACCAAATGTAATCACCCATCATGGCTGCATCCCAGAAGCCGTTATACCGCCGCTCCATAGCCTTTATTTGCTGGTGAAAACGTTCTCCGTGCTCATCACTTACGTTCCCCAGATTGTGAGGGTTATTTACGCACTCGAACTACTTCTTTTACTCATTTTACCCTTTTTATTAACTAAATAAAACTGATAAAAATACCTTGTTGAAATATCAAAAAATATCAGTAAAATGTTACTATGCCAACACGAGAAACAAAAGAATTTACGTTTGCGGAGTAATACCTATCAAATTTAAATTTTGAATAATGTTTTCGGTGAAAAAAGTACGTAAAAAATTCCAATCATGCATTTATTTACGTTTTCATTAAAGAATAAACATATTACAAAATAAAAGAAAAATCGTCAAAAATCTGAATTTTGGTCTTCCACGCCATTTTTCCATGTATTTTTATCAACATTAGCTTGTTTTTTTTAAATGTCAGCTTCACAAACAAAATTCAAACTGGAGTTATATGTTTGATTATGTAAAAGATAGTTTTAGAGAGCTCAAATGCCTTCAATTTAAGGGCTTGTTTGACCAAATCGATAAATTAGATTTCCAGCTATACTCAAAAACGTCAAAACCTCCGAAAATTGAAAAAAAAAAACATTTGAAAATTCATATTTCAAAAACGCTTCCATAAAAAAAATTTAGTGCGATTTTCGTGTTTAGTGGGTCAAAATACATGGGAAAATTATAATGGGATATGGTGGGCAGAATTTTTTTTATATTTTGTAAACTAGTGTAATTGTTGAAAAAAAAAAGAAAATTAACATTTATTTTAGTAAAATTTAAAAAAAATCAAGATAATAAATTTGATAACAATCAATTAAATAAAACCAATATAATCTTTAATTAAAACTATTTTCCACATTTCTACTAATAGAAAACATATATAAGTAAAGTAAAATTTCTTAAAGTAATGAAGCAATTAATTTTGAAAAAAGTTATATTATTAAATCACATTGTCCATGTAACTTAAATTTTCTCCAACAGAAAATGAGAGTTAAATGCTAAAAGAAAAGTAACAATAAAAGAGGATATTTAAGCTTCTATTAATTTAATTTATTTTTTTAATTAAAATATAAATACATTTGATTATCTTTTCTATATTTAATTCACGTACGGTAGCCTAAACTAATTGGGAGTTTTTTATTAGCTTGGCTATAATGACAATTAACGCGTTTGTTTTTTTATTTTTTCACAGTTAATATATATATATAGGTATAATATATACGAGGTGTGTAAAATAAATTCTGTGAAATGTTAACAAAGTCCTATAGTGAGTCCGCTATAAGTAAAACAAGAGTTTACAAGTGGTATAAGAGTTTCCAAGATGGCCGTGAACACGTTGAAGATGACGAACGCCCCGAACGCACAAGCACATTAACAACCGATAAAAACATGGAAAAAGTGGAATAAATGGTTATAAACCATCAGAGAAGTCGCTGATGATGTTGGTATATTGGCTTATCCCATGAAATTTTTTCGAATGTTTTGGGTATGAAACGCGTTTGCATGCATAGATGACATTAAAAGCGCATCGCTGAAAGAACTAAAGGCTATCCCAAAGATCGAGTTTTAGAAGTGTTTCGAGTATTGAAAGAAGAGCTGGCACATGTGCATAATATCCAATGGGGACTATTTTGAAGGCGACAACATTAATGTAGACGAATAAATAAATATTTGTTTCAAAAAACGAAAATTCCCGATATTTTCTGAACACACCTCGTATAATATATATATATAAAATAATATAGTAATATAGAAATATATATATATATATATATATTATAATGATATATCATTCAATTTTAAAATTTGACGACAGGCATGCGATTCCTAAAATAAAACTTAAATTTAAGCGGCCTAGTATTTCGAAATAAAAAGATTCATCAAGCTTCCCACAAAATTCTGGAAAACAAATGGGCAAATCTTATGAAAGAAAAGATTAATTTGACAGATGACCTAACCTCATATTTAAAGACCCTTGAACACTGAATAGTTTCTTGATATTGAAAGATGTTCTTTACAATTTAAACATTTAAAAGGGGCTAGATAGTCTGAGCTTGTGGTGTGGTGAAAAAACCGAAACTGCATTTTTCTTTATGGTCATTAGATTTTTGACAATTTCAGCCAATGAACAATATGAAAAATCTTGATAACACCTTTAAAATATTTTATTGACTCATGCGCGGTAACTACCAGTATCAGTATTTTGGTGGACAATGGTGTATTTGATTGATTTGATTGATTTATATTTATAACTTTAATATGGAGATTATATTTAATTTTGTTAACAGATTTAACATTTCCTGATATATTATTAATGATTTTGTCTCTGCGTATCAACTTAATTGATTAGGTTTATTAAAATTTTCCTTAGTCTCTATTTTCCTTCTTTTCATTATTTTTATTTAATTATTATTATTATTATGTCAACTAGACATACTTAATTCTTTTAAAAATGTTAACGTAAGCTTGAAAAAGATATTCCTATTTACGGGACAGTATGATAAAATATAAAAATAATTAAAAAATTGTTTTATAAGTTAATTGCAGTGAGCGTAGAGATGATATCCGTCGGAAATTGTAAAAATATTCACAGTACAAAAACGGAAATGCTAGTGAATCTTTTGTTCCGATTAACACCAGCATCATCAAATGTTGGATTATTTTTTGAGGATTTCCAGACCGGTGCTTCTATGCTCGTTTAGGAAATTTCGTATCGGCGATGACCAATGGCACTTAGGTTTACAACGCATTGTTAAAAAAATGATTGCAAAACGATTGTTTTTCGCGATGAAATTCGTTGTAAAATACTGGGTCATGGTGCAACTTTACATGTGAGTTGGTAATTAAATTTTTAACAAGGATCATCATGGCAATTTAGATAATTTGGTTTGATTTTATTGTGTTTAGTTTTAGACAATAAACTAATTAAAAATTGTAGTTTGATTCATTTTGACTGTTTTTTTAATAAGGAATCCTTCATTATTTTAACAATATACTTTCTTTCTTCAGGTCATTAATATATTTGTTGCAAATAAATCGAGAATACTAAATTTGGTCCTGAGGCTAAATTTGGCCCTGTAGCATTTTGAAAGTTAAATTTTAATTATATTATATTATCCAAAATTACAGGCCATAGTTATAAGTTATAAAAATAAAATTCAGATTAAAAACTACATAAAAACGTATGTTATTTCAGGAATATTTAAAAAAAATAGTAATTTATGTCATAAGGCTTAGAAGTGAGTATTTTTATGCTGAGCTCAATTAAGCGATATTAAAAGTATAAATTTAAGTGAGGTGACAGCTTTAGTCAGTTATCGAATTTTTTTATTGATTCTAACGGTTTTTTTACAGACTAGGATGTAAAAAACTTCACCTGATTGGTCTAAATTATTTTTACAGCGTAAAATATAATCGAATAAAAAGTAATTATAACCAATTTTAAATTTTTTATTATATAGTCTTCTTCCAATTTAAAAGCCGATTGGTTCAAATCACAGTGAATATTTAAATCAGCCAATTACTGATGCCTAGCAACGTGAATAATGAGTTTATTATTTCCGTTGTTAGGCAGGGAATTTATAATGTTAATTCATGAAAAAAAATATATGCTATAGGAGTAGATAAAATTTTATTTATGTTCCAAACTATATTAAAAAGTACCCTTTTTAGTGAAATTGCCATTAAAAAGGTAAAAGATTGTTACATATTTTAGAAAAAAGCCTTTTTAAAATGTATGTAATGTGGAATAAACAAAATTTAGTTATGTGTTTAGTAATTATGTATGTATGCTTATATCTTATAAATTAAAAAAATGTTTGTTATAAAACAATTCAATTTACCTAACTAATTGTGAGGTTTAACAGATATAAATAATAATAATCATCATAACTTTGTAATTATTAATAAATTTAGTTTCCAATTTAAAACGTTATAAATTGTTTTTGTAGGTACCTACCCTTTAATAGTAATACAAAATTTCAAGATTTTTTCCTTCATCAGGTAAATTATTAACTTTTTTTAAATAAATTATTTTTTTTATTAAAAAGTAGTAACTAAAAAATTATTCTAGAAAATCTAACATCAAATCTTAAAACAACTTATCTGTTTTGACGTTTTATACTCAAAATAACGTTGAGGTATCGCGTCTCTTTCAGAACACCTTGTATAATATTGCAGTTTTAGCAATGTTCTAAAAAAATTCCTGGTCTTAAAAAAAGAGGAAATTTATAAAAAATATTAAATTAATTAATATTGTTATAACGCAAAACTAAATTTATTATATTTATCAGATCTGAATCTGCATCATATGTACATCATATGTACATCTTAACTAAAAATAACCACTATATACAGAAAATTACTTGTAAATTTCATAATTTATTAAAAATATTAAATTATTAAGTGTTATTAAATATACCATGGTATTAAGGATTTTTTCTAAATATTAAATTAAATAAATTACATCCAGCCTAATGGCATACATTGTATCTTCAAGGCACAGTTTTATTTCTTAAACAATATATTGTATACATAAAACGTACTTACAATAATTATTATAATTACAATTATTAAAAATATAAAGTGGGGATAGCTTCAAAATTGTCAGCAGTTATCGATTTTTTTTATTGGTCCCAACAGGTTTTTTACAGACTAGTACAAAACTTCACTTGATTGGTCTAGGAGATAATCTAATACTTTGGTAGTGACAGTTAATAATGATAAAGCTTAAATTATTATTATAGAACCCTTGAAAATAAATTCTTTTAATCGCAATTAAACTAACCATTTTTTAAACCTAATTTTGGTTATATCTTTTTTTGTAGAGTAGCAAAAATTTATCGTTTAAAAAAGCTTTTTTTTCTTTAAATTTATAGTATTTAAAAATATTTAAAATGATATATTTAGTTTGAAATCAGTATATCATTCTTTTTCATTTATTTTTATATATATAAATAAAATAAGGATTGGGTTATTATATAACGAGGGTGTCACATTAAGACGCATTTAACGTTTCCTGCTAATAAATCAAAAACATTTTTAATAAAATTATTTTTTGAAGGGCTACAAAAATTACAGAAAATCAAATTATATATTGAATTATCCCCCTTTGAGGCAAACGCGGGTGCAACGTCAAATTATCGTGGAATCCCAATTATTATTTATTTATTTAGTTATTTATATATTCATTTATTTCTTCTAAACACTTTATAAGTACTTACAAAGAAGAAAGATACATACAAAATACGCATAATGCTATTAATATTAAATACTAAACAACAATTCTTTTATATTTGTTTTAAATTTATATAAATTATTAATAAAAATATCACAGTTTATTTGGTTTATAATACTACAACATTTGACTAGAGGCGAATTTATTTGCCTATTTGTTCTGGGACATGAGTAGCTTAAAATTTGAGTATTTCTTAATCTTGTATATAATAACCTTATATAAGGTTAATAAGTTTTAAAATATCAGGACTATTTAAAAGGTAATTAAGTATTAAAAACAGAGCAGTAATATTCTTGTTGGTAAGCTATTTATACCGTACTTAAGATTTAAGACAGCATGGAATATCAGATGGATATGATCCAGTTAGTATAAAATGATATAGTTTTAGAAATTTATTTTGGCATTTTTCAATAGGGTTAATTGATTTTTAAAAATATTGGTTCCAAATGATACATTCCTATTCCAATTTAGTTCTTATAAACATTTAAATACCTTGGGATTCATATGTCTGTAAAGATACTATAGTATTTCTTAAAATAAACCTATTATTCTATACGAACTTTTAACTATGCTATTAAAGTTAAATATCAATTTTTCATAAAAAAATAATGCCTAAATTTGAGATAATCGATTATATTCAGCTATTTTACTCGAGTACTTATTTTTAGTTTGCTTCGTACCTAAATGTTTAAAATCGTAACAAAAATTTAAATAGGAACTTGGTTTCAAAACATTTTTATTATTAAATTAGGATCTTCTTTGTATTGCATTAAAAAAGTAACAAATTCTGTGACTCAGAAATTGATATCAAGAATCCTGTACACCCGGCTGTCAAAAGAAATTAAAATACACAATAAATTCCTTACACTGAGCACATGATGTACCAAAAATCCACATACCACCGTCACAAGCACAATTTTTACAGAGTACATTTTTAATAAATGTTATCACTAAAAATCACTTTTTATATGAATAATTGAATACTAGGCCGTAATACTTTTCACCCTTAAGCTGTTGTTTGATTGATGAGTAAAATTATAATGATTCTTTTAATTGACGGCATCCACTTTTTATACTTGGGAGATGGTACCCAGCCTGAGTCGATTAAGTAAGACGTTTTGCAGAATATAATTCTCATACTTTCTGTTGGGTGCTCCTGTGGCTTACCAGAAGCTGCTCGTTATACGCAAGAGTAGCCCATTTATGTGTGTGTGTTCATTATGCAAAAAATATTAACAAATCCTGTATTAAATTGTTGATAAACAATTGTATTGTTCGTTCTGGATTTCTTGATACGTTTGTTTTTATAATATAATCATTGATTTTCTCGTGATGTTTTTTTTTCTTTTTGTATGATTTTCTTGGATTATTTGCCCAAAAATCTTAAAATACTCGTATTTAATAATTAAAAAACTATAATTTTAGCAGATTAATCGTAATCGTAATAGTAATCGCAATCGTAATATTTGCATGACTATAGTTTGCTTAAAAACATATAGATGACATTGAAATCATAGATTGAAATTAATAAGTATACTTATTAATGTCAATCTATGATTTCAATGTCAGTCAGAAGAGTCAAAATTTTTATAAAAGAATAAAAATATTTAGGAAATAATATTTCCCAAATATTTTTATGTCAAATATGGTATTTAATAAAAATTAATATTATGAAGAGCAAAGTGGAAAAAAAATTAAGAACATTAAAATAGTTTGGCGTTACCATGGTAACTGCAGTTAAAATACTGTTTTGTTAAACTATTATACAGTGAAATATACAATTAAATAAAAAAAAATAACAATAATTTATTAGAATTATAAATTTAAATTTTTCATACCATATTCTTAAATATTTTAAATCTACCTATTCATAAAAAATAATTATTTTTTTATAATTATAATTAATAATAAATTAATAATTATAATTAATAACAATTTTAAATATTTGTGCTGTGAAATTGGAAAATCGTCCTATTGAGCAAACATTTAATATTTTGGTTTTTATTGGTTCTAATACCAATTAATTTTTAATAAAATTTGAAAATGCTCCTAGCTCCGTATCCATGTAAACGGGCATTTTGCTTAAAAAAAACTAAAATTATTGCCAAAAAGTAAAGGGATCAGCAGTGTTCTTGCTAATTTGTTAAAAAGTTTTCAGTCATGGGGGAATTTTTTTTATTCTATATGATATTTAAAATTTATAAGAATAATATTTATTATATGGTTTTAATTATTTTTAGTATTATTTCATGTTAATTAACATCAGGAATGTGTCCATAATTAAAATGTTTATTGTAGATTTTAACATATTATTATTAATTGAATAGGAAATTAGATATGAAAAATACAAAACATATTTTTCTATTTAAATTTTACAGCTTGTTTGTAATCATGGGCGCCCATAGGGCAAGGGGGAAAACTTGACCACACCATCCTTATCTGCAAAATATATTGCTACCTACCTAATGTTATAATGTACCTATTATTAAGACATTTGCATGCTGGTAATAAATTATCACTAATAAATATATTTTATTTTATTTTTTGAGTGCCAATAACTACTATTACTAGTAATCACTGTGACTAAATTAATTAATATCTGTAACCAAACTGTATTAACTCCACTTTTTTAAAATAACATTAAATATTTTATTCCTAAATTTTTCCCAACAGATATTAAAAAAATAAACCTAATTAAAGATTACCGAACAAAAGGCTCATTCCATAATTATTACCATTTTGCGAAAAGCGTGGCCTATAGGCCATAGCTTTAAGAGGAAAACATATTAGTGAAAAATAAAATGGCGAAAACAACATTGCAATTAAAAAAAAATGATAAAGGATAATTAGTATCACAATTTGTACTAGCGCTTGTATTGTTTTTTTACTCGCAAATTTATCATGCATCCATGCATTATAAATCGGTAATAAGTGACCCGGTATTTGATTAAATGCTTTCAAGTCTCTAGGGGGCAGCTGCCTGCCCTGCCCCCCTTGGCGGCGCCCATGCAGGCGTGGTTTTTCTTTGACAATTTTAATTTGATTGAGGGCCGGTTTATCAATGTCCAGTTAAAGTTGCAGTTAGTTATCTAGCAGATAATTTCCTTGGATACCATTGTTCTCACAACGATTAAGTACATAAAGCTAAACAAAAATTTTAGAAATTGGCGAATTTTTTCTAAAAAATATTGATTTGTCCATGCTTTTTTAAAAATGTGTATATTTTAATTTTTTCTAGTTTAATAGGGACAGCTACATTAGCTGTAATGTATTTCACTAGAAACAGTATTTACGAATTTTAATGTTTGCATATAAGAAAACAGTTTTCTCACAATATCGCAAAAATAAGAGTTGATTCAGCATTTTTGAAATCAGTGCATGCAAATTACCCCAACACAAACAGACAATTTTATTTTACCGTCCTGTGTAATAATGGTGGAAGGAAAATTTTATATGGGGGCCCATATATGTAATTAGTATTAAAAAGGTAATCTACAATATTTAAATTACAAGATTTTTTGAAAGAACAATTTAATAATAATTGTTTTTATAATAAATAAAATTTTTACTTAAATAAAACTCAAATAATGAAAAAAATCAAAAAATATTTTATAGTAAAAGATTAGTACTTTTAGATGATAACCATAACGAGTGTTATAAAAAAACTAATGAAAATAAAAAAAAGTTTTTTTGTATTAGAATTTCTGAGATTAAAGTTTGTTATTGTTTATTGTTTATTGTTCTGACGTGTTCTATATTGTACTTATTGCAATTTCTTTGGAGAAATAAAATCTATTTTATTCTACTAAGGAGGTAATCTTGAATTTCTGCCAACCCTCTCGAGGTTACGCGTCTTTGGCGCGTATAAGCCAGGAAATTAATGCTGGGGTTTACGCACAGTGAGACCAATAATGTGTACATCTACTTCCTTTACAGCCTTCACACTTCGGTAATAAACACAGAAAGAAAAATTGTACGTAAAATTAATAAACTGCTGTCGTCAAATTTTTGTACATTAATATTATGTATTGGTGATTATAACAATGCTTTTTGATCATAGATTAATAACTAAGAAAATTAAAACAATAAACTAGCCAACATTAAAAACGATCAATGCAAAACATAAAAATTAATTATTTCCTTTATTAATATTATGTAAAAATTTATTGAATTAACTATTGACGATTATTAAACGATGTTATTTTTCTTTAAAACAATTTTTCGTCATTTATCCATGAACAGCAAACATAAATAATAATAAACCATCTTCATTGTCCCAACGGTCACTAAACATTCAATTCTAAAAACGCGCCAAAATTAATGGTGCCGTACGATGAATTAATCAACATAAACATTATTATTACGAATCGCTGTCGTAGACTTCTGGTCATCACACCACTTTTACTAAATTTAGGTATATCATTAACTGAGGAGGTGCATTCCAAAACTCGGCTTATCCATATTAGTTGTTTTTGAGCAAAATGTCAAAAACCTTACACGTGAGTACTAACGCATATCAGGCCACCAGAATAATATAAACAAAATATAGGCATAAGTAAAACATTTATATACCTTGATTAAAAAGGTATAGCTCCAATTTAAAATAATTTAAAATTACGTATATGCCGAGCTCTGCATGATATAACCAATAGATAAGGCAAGTTTTTGAATTATAGTCAATCTGTATATGAATTTAAAATGGAAAGGTGAGTTTTAGAATATTATGAACTTTCCAGGGTATAGGGCGATACATGTTAAATGTACAGACACCACTAACTCATTTTTATTAAAAAGTGGATAAGCCGAGTTTTGGAATGGACCTCCTCTACTAATGCCTTTTTGTTCGTAGTATCAATAACCAGGGATCATAGATCTATGGTTACTGTTTATTAATTCAATGAAAAATAATCATAAACTTATGTTCGCTGTTTATTGATAACGTAGTTATCATAAACTTATGGTCAACGGTCGTTGTATTAACAACCGCTGTTCATAGATCCTTGCTCATAGTTTATTAATTTAACGCACAGGACTCATACGCTAATTTAAATCTGTTTATCGTATTAATTACTGTCAAACATAGATCCATGCTCATTATTCATCAATTTAACGTACAGCAATCGTAACGTTATGAATAGGAAAATTTACGAACGACTGTTCATTAAAAAAGTACATCATATCAATAAAGGACAACATTAATTTTCAGCCGATGACCATTGAAAATCCAAATTAACCAAGCAAACTCAAAGGAATCGCTTAAAGCTAAAGGAAATTTAGAAACTAAACTTGAACTAGCGATACCAAAATCAAGGTAAAACTAGTTGAACTAACTGAGTCTGAGTAAGCTAAAATACTACAAAATCCAAATCAGCCAAAAAGTGAAACCATTGAAAATCCAAATTAACCAAGCAAACTCAAAGGAATCGCTTAAAGCTAAAGGAAATTTAGAAACTAAACTTGAACTAGCGATATCAAAATCAAGGTAAAACTAGTTGAACTAACTGAGTCTAAGTAAGCTAAAATACAACAAAATCCAAATCAGCTAAAAAGTGAAACCATTGAAAATCCAAATTAACCAAGCAAACTCAAAGGAATCGCTTAAAGCTAATACAATTGTATTAACAACACCCGTCATCGGCTGAAAATTAATGTTGTCCTTTATTGATATGGTGTACTTTTTTATTAATATCACGTACCTTTTTCGTTTAGTGAACATTAAGAAAAGCATCGAAAACCGCAAAACCCATCGATGACTGTCGGTGGTCACATTGCCGACTGCCGAGGGCTGTCTTATAGACAGTGTCTATGGATGGTTCTCGACTGAAGTAATGGTTTTGCACAGTGGGGAGGGCGGTTTGCGCGCAGCATACAAACTTGCGGCACACGGACGCGGACGAACATTAAGTACTAGAAGACCAGCTAGAATAGGTCCTAGCTACGTTCATGAACCCCAATTGAATGTGGTTATTACTTAATTCCTGGTTGTGAGGGACTCCGTA